TTATTAATCAAGCAGTTAAAAAATTCTCATCTCAACACACTAAAAGGCACACTCTTGTTTTAGGAGATTATAAAAATTCTGTTGTCATTCCCTTCTTTCCATCAATTAGCTATAAAGTTGCACATATTTTGCAGAAATTTAACTTTCGGGTTTGTTTATTCTCCCCATCAATAAAATTCCGAGTTCCATACTCAAGGACCCCATTCCGGATATGAATTCCTGGGGTATTTATAGGATTCCTTGCCAGTGTGGTTTAATTTACATTGGCCAAACTAAGAGAGCCTTAAAATTTCGCGTCAAGGAACATGAGGCATATGTTAGAAAAAAGGAAACACAGAAGTCTTCTGTTGCGCAACATTGTTGGTCCGAAAATCACACTTTCAATTTTTCTGCTGCCAAAATTATTCAAAAAACATCTTCCATTGGAGAACTGGATTTTCTAGAGGCATTTCACATTCATAAAAATCTTTCTGTTCTAGTTAACGATCCTAATTCCAATCCAAATTTGCCTTCGGCCTTTAAAGAAATTATGTTTTAGTTCTGGTTTCACCAACAGATGGCGCCACTTGCTTATTCTTGTCCAGGCTTTCTTATCTTATCTAATCATTATTTCCTTTCTTGTTCATTTGCGGTTTTGCAGCTGAAGATGGTGGTTCGGTAAAACCATCGAAACTAGTCCTGTGAAAATTTTGTAAATATATCGCTGATTTTTGTTGTTTGTCTTCTGAATTAGTAACTTCTACTAACTTGCTTTAACTATTTAATCTGATTAGTTAACAAAATTAATTTTGATTTGTAAAATTGTTCATAAATTCTGTATATGAAATTTAAATAATCCCTTGTTTAACAAAATTTATGACCATTTAAAAATCTGAAGACAGCTAAATTCATTTATGTCTTCTGTAATTTGTCATTTTCTAACATGATATTCACATAGTTTTCCAAGATTAGTATACAGTATTCTTTCTCCGAAATGGTTAATTTTCATGAATATAGATTGAACTCATGTAGAATACTTGCACAGATAATTAGAAATCATGTACAATAAAAAAAGGATTCTTGAAAAGTTTTATATGTACTGCATACAGTGTATTTTTAATGAAAATAATAATTAAATTTACTTAGGTATTCAAATAATCATTCATTCGTGAGTTCTTTTAACTTAGGTTCCTGAAGACAATTTTCTTCTACAGTCAAAAGTCGTTAATCCGGACTCGTCGGGACTTCGGCGATTCCAGATTATCGATTTTTCCGGATTATAGATCATCAGTTTAAATCTCGTAAAATGGCATGCAGAAATTCTAAAATTAAAAATATGAACCGTAATGTATGAAATAAAGAACAATTATGATCTAAAGGGTATCAAATTTACAAAAAAAAGCTTAATATTTATTTGTTTACTTTATTAAACATTTCTTTCAATGTAAGTTGTTTAAGTTGCTTCGTTTTATGTGATAATACTTTCTCTTTAATTCTATAAACAGACATAATTTCTTGTTCAGTTACAAAGTTCCGCTGTGCAAGTCCCGTTAATTGCTGTGCCGAGAATACCGACTAACTTGTCAATGGAAATTTTTTCGTTTTCACTAACCTCTCTGTCAAATTCTTCATGTCTTTATCCATTTTTTTGCAGCAATTCCACTTTTTGTTTGTTGGACATCGAAACATACTTTCGTTTTGTAGATCCTTTGTTCCAGCATCGGAAATTCTATTTGACATAATCGAAAGTTCAAGTTTACTTTTATAAAATTGCTCTTACAGTCTGCAAAAAATAATAAGCGGGATCCAATTCGAAGATTAAGGAACAACGCAATCATTAACATTAACTGAAATAGATAATTAGATAATTTTAGCTTACACCGTCCGTTATACATTAAACGCGCAGGCGAAAACGTATTCTGCATTTGCGCACACGCATACGCGCAGTAGTCAAGGTCTTACGCGCACGCGTAAAACGCCTGTGCAGAAAGTTTTTAGCTTTGAGGTCCGGATTATGGGTGTCCGAATTAACGACTTTTGACTGTATTATACCTATTTTCAGGCATCCTGTAATTTATTGTTGTAATTTTATACCTTGTTGCATATTTTGCTCCATTCATGTATGTCTATATACATCTAGGTATATATATATATATAATTTATTTCCTAAACAATATTGATAACTTATTTTGTAATCTTCTATGTTTATTTCTACTTTACTTTGAATTCTATTTCATAATGACAATTTCCAATGTTTAATTTTTACAAATAATATAGAACTCAAATGCATAAACATGAGGGTGTCGGGGACGGTTACTCGAGTTTTTTCGGATTTCTCTACAGAAATTGCTTTTTACTCCAAATTGATTCGGCTAAAATGCTTCATAAGAATAATTCTTTGAGTATCAGCATTGGTTCGTAATCCCTTCTATTCGCGGAAATATTTGGCTTGACTAGAATTGCCGGTTTGGCTTTACCTTATAACTCGAGTAAAGACGAAACACCTTCGTATTTACATATTTTTATTAATTATTGTTCATTGAACGGGAGTTGGTCTGTTCCCCTTGAAAAGTCAACTAATTTCCGATCAACGACAATGATTACATGTTTTTAATTTAATTACACCGGTCATGCTTTTGGCCCCGTCTGTTGCAATAGAGCTAATTTTTATAGTATAGAATCATAGAGGTAAGAAAGGAAAAATTGGCCAACTCCACTACAAGTGAAGCACTGATCGGAGGCTTTGGTCTCCAGATGGGGTGTTTTTTGTTTACATTCAGAAACTCCCTTAAAAGCGCCTTGATAGTATTTCGACACACGAGTTCAATACAAATCGGAAAACGGGATACTTCCGCATAAAAGAAACATTCTTTGTGTGATGGATAATAGCAGGTTGTATAGTTTAATGATATTTTTGCAAAAATCACATCTTGGTTATTTTTAGATAACTAGCGAGAGCAATTTTGATGATGAATTTGTTTTGTAAAATTCTAAGCTGTTGAACTACAAAAATATAGATTTTTTGCAAAAATGTTATGCTTAAAGAATGAAAAATACCTTACGGTACTTTAAAATTGTATATGTATGTCGATATCCTTGACAAAGTATTCACTACTTTTATTTTATGTTCCAAACGGCAAATTTCCCCCCCCCGTCATTGTTTATATTATTGCGACATGTACTTTTTGAAAATTTTTAGAGGAGAGGCTTTATAGTTGCTCATTTTACACTTATCATTTTAGTTTTATATAACTGAAAAATAATCACTTTGGGTTTTACACTTTTTACTTATTTGGGTTAATTAAAAAATAAAACTACCACTAAATGCTGCAATCCTCATCAGAATTAATAAATATAGACACAGATATGCCAATAAGTGAACTTTTCCTTGATTTGTAACCACATATTTGTGTAAAGTGTGTGAAACAGAAGACGGATACATTTGAGAACTCGGCGAATGAAGCAATATTATACGGAGTAAGGCAATCAAGATTGTGATCTGATGACAATGCGGTTAATGTTTAAATGTGAAATGGATAGTTATTATAATCAGAGAATAATTAAATTGGGTAAAATAAAAAAAAGAGGTATTGAGTGCTCTGCCAAAATATATTTACTTGAAGATTTGAATTTAATAATGAATGTGTACATAACGTGTTTAAAGTCAAAAGTTTGAAACTTGAGGTTAAATGTAATTATAAAAGTATGCATGTTAAAATATTTGTAATTAGGCACATACTTCAGGTTAAGTTTAAGTAAGGCATGCCAAGGGCTATCCGCCTAAAGGCAGAGATGCCATCATGGAGGAATTTCGGAGGAAAACGTACCTTTTAGTGGGTATTAAAAGTAGTGCATGTAATTCTTATTCAAATTATATTTATACATATTTCTTATGTAAAAACTTTCGAGTATATGCTAAATTATTGTAAATTACTTTACTTGAAAAATATAGTGAATACAGAGAAATTAAAGATTTGCACATGCCGGAAATGAAAAATATGAAATATGTACGGGTCTTTATGCATATGCTTGCAAAAAGCATGTATCTGCCTTTAACAAAATACGTAAATATTTACTAAATTATTTATAAATGTATTTGAAATGAAGGAGTTATTCATCCATAAACTCCTGTGAAAGTTACTGTGAAGAGATCTAATTATTAAATGCATCTAAATTTATAATGATTATATATATTATCTAAATATATAATAATCTTAACATTGTAAACATAAATTGAAATCCTGTTGACAATTACGCTTATAAAACTATTTAAGCACAAATTGTTCATACTAGAAAGCAATCTGTTAAAAGGTATTTTGAAGCAAATTCTATGAGATGCATATTTAAGTAATAAAGAAGAAATTTAGAATACTGTTGAAGTTAAGGGTAAAAAAAATCTGGTAAGAAAGTTAAGCACATGAAAATGAGCACCCACATTTAACGTACTTTCACTATTAAAATAAAAGGTGCTCTAATTAGAAATGCATCGAATAGAGCATTAATTATAAACTGACTTAGATTTTTCGATTTAAAAGATGCCTCAAAAGCTAAAAAATCATATTATATTTGAGAAAGTATTTTAGAAAGAAGCTCTATAAACAGAAAAGAAATAATGCATAATTTTAATATTAATAATACAATAAACTTTGATCTTAATTTTTGTAATCCTTAAACCGAATGAAATTGAGTTACCTTAGAAAAATTTTTCTAATGTAATTAACGAAAACTTGTGAAAATATTTCATTCAAACTAAACTATTCTGTAAAAAGTATAGCATTTAATTCCGTTCAGAATAAAATATTGCTTTAAAATGTATTCTTTTCACATACTTAGGACTCTGAAATATTGTAAAAAAAAAGAAAGAAAATATATACATTTATATGTATATTTACATCCGATCATGTAAAACCCATTGATCTTAATGGTAAAACACTGAATATTTCGGTCACCATGAAGGGATTGCCAGTGCTTCAAAGCAGTATGTGGGAGGAAACCAGTTAGGGTCTCTCCTTACTTCCTACCTCCATGGGTAGAATATGGTCTTCCAATGCAACTAATTACAGCATTTTCTGAATCCTCTCCATGTGTCTGACCTTGTATTAAGTACTAAATAACACATGTTTAGTTGTGAACTGTCTCTCCGCATTTGATTTCTTATAATTAGCCACTTTTTCCTGACAAATAAGACAGGTTGGAAGAAGCACTATCTTCGGACCTCTTATGTACATAAGAACCCTGACGGGACTCACTAAAGTATATGGAAAGAGCTGGAATAGACCATTTCTTGTTGTATATCAGAATATCCACAAAAGTACCAAAGAGGCAAGGACATAATCGAATGCTGATATCATTGTTATTCTTGTTGGTACAATTGGTACTTAAATCCGTTGTTTCCATGCTTGTGTAAAGTTTGACAGCCTATGTGTTGTATTTTCAAGATTTTCTTGCTTTTACATGCACAAGACCGGATTTGCTATTCTGTGGAAGAGCCACAGTTTGCCGACCTCTGGTGTAAGAAAATACAGTGCCTGAGTAGTGTACAGGCAAATAAAAAAAATCCCATTTTACGGCATCCGAACTGTGTTCCGGCAAAACAGTTAAGTGGTTAAAGTAGAGAAATCATTACTTACAAATTCTCGCATTCTTAATTTGTACCCTTTTCTAGATAATGAGGATGTTTTGAAAAACTGGTTAGGTATATAATAGGTTAGGTATTTATAACTTATAGATGTATTGAAGTTGTACCTCCCTAAAAGAAAGATTTACATTGCTTTATGAGTATTTCCTGTTCATAAAGCTTCTTGTTTTGTGAAAGCATACACATTTGAGGACAAAGTTTTTGCTGTACGAAGAATTTACAGTGCAAAAACAAGAATAACTTCAGGTGTACCATTTTCAAATATATTCTTGTAAGCACTGCCATGGCTATGAGATTAACTACTGCACAGGAATTAAAAATAAGTTTAATGTGCACATTAAATAATGTTACGTTTATATGTGTACATATTTGTGTACATAATTGTAATTAGAGTACATATTGTAATTACAGTTGCAACTATAATTAACTAATTTAATTATAGTTGCAAGTGTAATTAAATTTTACAATTACAGAGTAACTGCAATTAAATTTTGCAATTTCAATGTATGTAATTACAAAGTAATTTCAATTACGTGCTCCAATTTATAATTGTAAATGCCATTTATAATTGTTTTCAACTCTGTTTTCAACCTGATTTTTTATCGTATACTTTTTTTTAGTAAACTATTTTGTAGCGATTTACAACCATAATGTCAAACAATAAAATGATTAAGATTTAAAAAATTAAAATATTGTATTTCAGCAAAATAATCACTTGATACAAATATACATAGAAAGGAATTAACAATCTGTTTTTCATATTAACCAGTATTGAATACACAACAGAAAACACTTTGTCACCTTGTCATTTAAAAATAAACATCTTCCTTAATCATTTTTTTTATACATCCTGAAATATGAAATATTGTTCCTTTCATTATAATCTAATCAGGTAAACTGGTTCCGTTTTAATAGATATTGTTGATTCAATCAAGAATGAATTATAGCCACATATTCTTTTGCTGGATTCCAAAAATCTTACTAAACCTTCTGCAAAAATATCCTTAAACATTTCAATAAATGCTTGTGTTTATTTTCTCAGAAAATATTTTAATATGTTTTGGTGCATTCTTGAAAATCTTAAAATTAAATCTGTTACTTTTCTTTCCCCATTTCAAGTGAAAAGACTTCAAGAATTATGATGCATCTTTGCAGAATGTAAAACTAAATCGGGTGGATCTGAGTGTTGTTTTCTTTTACAGGATTCAAAAAATCTCACTATGCTTTCAGCATTGTTAAGTCCTTCATTTTCTTGTAAAAAAGTCCTTAAACTTTTCATTAAGTGGCAATCATCTTTACTTTCAAAGAACACTTTTAGCATGTTCTGATACATTCTCGAGAAACGTACAATTAAATCTTTTGTTTGCTCATCTGTCATGTTTTCTTCCTCTGTTTGAAAAGATGCGATGAACTTGTTTTTCTTTTTTTTCCTAAAATTACCTTCTTTCCTTTTGTGTGTTTCAATGGTGCTAATTAATGAATTTTCTTCCTCTGTTTTAATAGAAGTGATTAAAGAATTACCATGTACTATTCTTTCTGTATTAGGGGTGATTAAAGAGTTCTGATGAGTACTTGGAAAAAGTGAAGTTAAATCAGGTTCTACATTTTCTTCCTTTATAAGAATGGATGTAATTAAAGGATTATCTTGCTGTTGTTCTTGTGCTTTGATAGTAGTGATTAATGAATCAGTTTCATTCTTTACTCTAGAAAGAAAAAAAAAATGAAATTAGAGAAATAAAGAATATTTTTAATGAGATGACGGAAGGAAGAAATTTACTTACACCAATTTCGTTCTTTGTCCACAGTTCTATAATAGCCATTAGTTCATGACTGGCAACAAAAGTTAATTTTTATCATTCTGCTTTTTAAGGATCCATAAAAATGATACCAGTTTCTTATACGTGGAAAAAGATGCTTTAAGAGAGAGAGATGAATGCAAATTTAAAGTTTATTCTAACAAATAAGAACTTACTTAAGAAATTCTTAAAAAAGTATTTAAAAAAACAAATGAAATACCTCAAAGTGTCACAATATACCACATAAAATGTTTTTAACTACCGTATATTCCACCGTATAACGCGCACCTATAATTTCAAACTACATTTTTTAGTTTCTTGGTATATTCGCCACATACGCAACCTTTTCTTTATGGAGAAATCTGAAAGATAACAGTGTGATGCTTTTATTTTTTGAAGTCGTTCATTTAAAGATTTTTCCCAGGCTTTCGAATAATGAATTTGAACTGAGCGATAAGGGAAGCAATATGTGTGTGCATGTGAGGGGGAGGGGGAATGCATGAGGATGTAAATAGTTCTGAAAAGAGGGTGATTTGTATTCAATTTGTGCACAAGAATGTTATTCTAGGGTTTCGGACATTACTTGAGGTAAGAATGCACTTCTGATCGGAATGAATATACGAAATTAGCAGTTAAACGTTTTTTTCTCTTTCTGTAGTCATTTGAAGTCAGCATCAACGGCAAGGAAGGAAAAGGAGGCCAAATGCGACGCATGCGCAGAAAGTTTGTAGCTTTGAGGTCCGGATTATGGGTGTCCGAATTAACAACTTTTGACTGTATAACAGTTTTAATAGCTATCAGTATGTAAACCACATAATGTAACACCATAAAAGAAAAACATAAGTCATGACATTTTAATTTTGCCATAGAGAAATACATATTTAACCCAAAAGAGAGCTTGTATTTCTACCTTCTACATCAGAATCAATAACTGAAATGTCCAGACCAGAACCAAGAAGAAAAGAACTATAATTAGTTTAATTAAGATACAATAACATGCCGACCAAGTATTAATTTAGAAGTCAAACAACAAAAATTAGCATCATATTTTGAAATATTCACTATTTGAAAATATAACGTTGATTTTGGTTGCTTGACTTCTAAATTAATATATAATTAGTTTGCCATAATTAAGTAACTGTAAGAGTTTGAATATCAGGCACAGCTAATATCTATTTTAGAAATAAACCAACTTACCTCATGAAAGCCTGGTTTGTCTTAGGAACATTAGCTGTAACTTCTGGCATAGAAAAGTCAAATTTTTCATTTCCAGACCTAAGAATGAAAGAAATAAACTGCTATAATATAATTAAAAAAACATGAATAAATAAAACAAATTTAAACAAATAAACAAACACATAACAAAACACATAACAAATTTAAGCATTAAGCTATGTATGACTACCACCCATCTCAGAAAGTGCGAGAGATATTGCTGTATACTGTTTCGCCATACCTTGTGTAGCTATTATATCATGCTGTATAACCACAGTTTAGAAAAATTACAAAATGTGTTATTTATATCTATCTAAAATGGTACATTACATGATTTGTAAGAATAAATTAGAGGGCTCTGCGAATGAAATTCCTTCCAATTAAAAAATGTAGGAATAAAGAAAATACAGGAATTGCAAATACAGAAATGAAAAGGCATTATATTTTTTGCACGGAATCCAGATGACATATTTTTCAACAGTTAAGAAATTTCACAGGAAGCATGCCAAATGTAGGACCTACGACTACAACAATTATATGGATTTAATTCATCCATGCTCATAAAACAAATGAAAAAAAAATTACAATAATCAAAACCACACAAATGTTATTTCTTTGCTCACTCTGAAATAATTGCATTCACTGAGTTTGGAAGCATCATTTATATATTCACTACAAGATTAACAATGTTTGCTGCTAATGAGTTACAATTGTTATAACAATAAGGTTTTTGACTTTATCTATGGTGTTACTTACAGCTTGAAGCAATTCAAATAGCAAATCATGCAGTAATTGAATACAAACATGAAAAAAGGAAGCTCCCACCTAAAATATTAGGCCCCTAAAAGCAGAATATATTTTTTCAATGTTCAGTCAATCTTCCTATGAGAAGAATTCCTTTGAGAAGTACACATCTGAACCACAATTAAAAACATGTACAAGAACAGAGCTTAGGACTGCTGTTTGCAGAAAGTCCATCACATAACATATGAAAAGTTTCTTATTGGTAGATTATTGATCAGACAGATATTTTATTGTTATACAGAGAAAGCATTCATTCCCTTTCTACTAGAGATAATTCAATTTGGACAATGGCAAAACGGCTAGAAAAGCAAGCATGAGCGTATTGGTCCCATTCTTGGCACTAATATGGTTTACGCTCAAAATACACAGCAGATATTTTCTGATTACCTGCATCCCAATATCACTTCAACTTTTGGTGGAATTTACCATTTGTGACATATTTTTCAAAAACTACACTTCACAACATGCATACATGACAAATACACAGAACCATAAATAAACAAGCAATAATATAAATTTTACTAAATGATCATAAAATGTTCCAAAGCTAAAAGAAAGTTTCAACATTCAAGTAAATGCCATAATAAAAAAAAAAGCAAGTTGAACAGCCAGCACATGAATGAAATGTGCATACACCTGTAAAAATAAAACCACAGGTAACTGACAAAGCATTTTGTAGCAAACGTATGACTATAAAATTTCCAATAATACCATGTAATGATGGTGAATTCAATTTAGATCGCAAGAACATGCTCATACTTTTGAAATGATTCAATTACTTCAGCAATTCCTTGTGAATTGAAATTTACCCTTTCAATATTTCCCAACAATTTAGTGTGAATGGAGGAATAAATTGTTATAACAGGTTTGAACAATTATTAGCATCCCCTCATACACACCACACACACACACACACACAAAAAAAAAAAAAAAAAAAAGAAAACATTACTTTGGAAAAAAATCATCCGGGCAATGATTCTCCTTTGACACAAATGCAGTTGTATCAACAATTTCTGACCTTCAATAAAAAAAAAAAGTACGCATATTTTACTTCGGAATTAACTTACTATGAAATCATAAACACGAGGTAGTCGATATAAGGAATAAATTATTTCTCACCTTTCGAAAACATCCGCTTGTTTGGAATCTTCCACATCTTGGGAATTTAATTCCATATTTATTTCTTGAGCTCGACATTGTCTCTGAGCTCTAGATCTTCCTTGATATTTTCGCATTTTTTTGCTAACTGACCACAGTACAAATAAATGTAAACAAATCGAGTGCAGAATAGCAATGCAATAGTGTTGCCGTAAACGTCGTTCCGCTGACAGCTGACACTGTTTAGTGAAAACTGTGTATAAAGGAATATATGAAACGCTTCTAAATATTATTTAGATAAAAAATATGATTTATAACTTGTATCAAAATCAATTACTTCGTGAATTTTTGCAGAAATAAGATTACAATGCTAAATTTTAACTCATAGCGCCATCTATTGGCGGCTTTCCAAGCTACACATTAAAATTACGTATTTCAAACTAATTTTTTTTAATATAATATTTAAGTAAATTTCATTTCAAACTTGATTCTAACTTTACATTCCAAAACTGACCTATTGCTTTATATTTCTGCCACATTTCACGAAACATAGTTTCTTAATTAGTGATTATAAGTGTAAACAAATTTTTAGTATCGTAATGCTACTGTAGTAGACCACCTTAAGAGCGTTTAATACCCCTTTCTCATGTCGATTTTTAATAACAGATGGCGCTACGAACGTTGAGCGATAAAGACTCAAATCTGTAAGACTACTTACAGCCTGGTTACTATGGCAACGACACTTCCCTTCCTCCTGACTCATTTGGCAGGAAAGTGAGTAAGCCATAAAACACTTAAACACATCCCCTCAGTTGAACAAAAGACCTGCTGAACAGGAATAGAACTTTTCCACTTTTGAACAGGAATAGAACTTTTCCACTTTTGTGTTGAATGAAAGATATCTGCGAGATACGTACAGCAGTCGCTATTTCTTTTCGCAAAATTTGTTCATCACGCTTTTCAATGTTGCGTAATGTTTCATAATTTGCCGTTATTTCTGCGGAAGAAAACAGTTTTTAAAAATACAGTCAAAAGTCGTTAATTCGGACACCCATAATCCGGACCTCAAAGCTACAAACTTTCTGCGCATGCGTCGCGTACACGCATGCGCACAGGCGTTTACGAGAGTGCATAAGACCCTTACAGCTGCGAAAATTGTTGTTGCGCATGCGCGTTTTAATGTGTAACGGAGTTATACGCTAAGCTAAAGTTATCTAATTCAGTTAATGTTGCAGATTGCGTTGTTCCTTAATCTTCGAATTGGATCCGGCTTATTATTTTTTGCAGACTGTTAGAGCAATTTTATAAAAAGTAAGCTTGAACTTTCCATATGTCAAATACAATTTCCGATATATATTTACTACAAAGCGAAAGTATGTTTGAAATCCGAAATCTGTTTATCAATTTCACGCTGCTCTGCAGCAGAGGGGGGGGGCAGAAACGTCATTATTAGATTATGATAGATTAGAAAGATTATGTCAAATAGAATTTCCGATATATATTTATTAATATGTAATTTGTATCTACAAAGCGAAAGTATGTTTTGAAATCCGAAATCTGTTTATCAATTTCACGCTGCAGATTGGAAGTTGATCTGTCAGCACTATCCTTTTCTTCAGAGCAGATGTTTTTATTTTATTTGGTTTATAATTCCGTACTAAGTGTACAGCGGAACTTTGTAACTAAACAAGAAATTATGTCTGTTTAATAGAATTAAAGAGAAAGTATTATCACATGAAACGAAGCAACTTACATTGAAGGAAATATTTAATAAAGTAAACAAATAAATATTAAGCTTTTTCTTTTTGTAAATTTTGATACCCTTTAGATCATAATTGTTCTTTATTTCATAAATTACGGTTTCATATTTTTAATTTTGTAATTTCTGCATGCCATCTTACCAGATTTAAACTGATGATCTATAATCCGGAAAAATCGATAATCCGGAATCGCCGAAGTCCCGACGAGTCCGGATTAACGACTTTTGACTGTACTAGATTTTTAAGCATTTCGGTAATTTCATCGCGACATAAAAATTATATATAAATGATTTTATACTTGATGATATGTGTATACATAGCATGCACATAATATTCCATTTACTCATCCATCCATAATATTTCATAAACATGTTTTAGCACTTTCCAAAGCTTTATATATATATTTTACTTGTATTATAAAATCGTATAACACTCCTATTATTTTTTTACTTCAAAAGTGGATAAATCATTATGAAATTTTTCTAGTACATAGAGAAATGGTCTATGTATCCATACACATAAACGTAGTAAAAGATACTATTCTTGATTGAATATCTTTGGCAGCAATATCAAGATGCAACGAAAATTCGAAATCAATTAATAACATGCATTTTATTACAAAAACACTAGCAGGACGTATTATTTGCACAAAAAACTTAGTGTGGAAATAATTTGCGGCACATTATCTGAGATCCGCTTTGAATGAAAACTACATAAAGTGTTATAATGAACAATCAGTTTCAAGATTTCACTTGATACTGAAATGCATAAAATCAAATTGTGTTTCTATGTTTCAGGTTTATAAAATACAGCTGATAATTGAAGGGGTAAAGTACAAGCTGATAATACATGATAAAGGGGAAGAAATTTCTAAATTACAAAATTGAGTATTATATTTTAGTAAAGTAAAATGATACATATTATAGATACATCCTAAAAAACGATAATATATATATATATATTGTATATCGTATATATATATATATATATTTATATGTACTCTTTTCCGGATGCAACTGTAATTACGTACTGAGCTGGTTTATCATCTTCCTGTAGCGATGCATTTGGATTTGCTGTGTATGAATTTGTTTCATTGAACAGGAACAAATAGGAAACAGAATATTGAAAATTGAATTTGTTTTGAGCATTAGTAATTTATATATGTTAGATTGACTAAAAAGAGTATATTCATGCATAACGTATAAATAAGCGAAGTGAATACTTTTTGGCAATCACCTTTCTAGGATGATCATTTTTGAAAATAACCAGTACTGTTGATAACATAAACACCGTACGATCTATCTGCCTAAGGGAAAGGATGCCTTCGTGGAAGACTTTCTAAGGGAAATTGGCTCCTATACACGTTACACAGGGTAAAACCACGAAAGCGCAGCCAGTCGGACCGAGCTAACTGGTATTGTTCAGCTACTTTACTGCTTCGTGCCTCATTTCAGAGCGGATTCGCTATATATGAAACAGAGAATGTGCTGTTACCGTATTTAGCAGCCTGCCTTTTTCCTTGACCTACCATAAAAAAAATAAAATAGCAAAATTATAACAGCGTTTCTAAAAAGATGCTTGCTATATTCTCATTAAATCTTTATCATTCTGCGCTACTAAAAACGAAGTACGATTATTTCAAATTCAAAATTTTATAACATTACTTTACAGAAAGTGATCTCATGTCTTCTAAAAATGAAACCCCACATCTGTTTCTATCCCAGCGCTTATTTTCTAGACAAAGTAATTTCAGTGTAACATATGTTCAGTTTTATCTAACTTTGAATGAAAAAAAAAAAAATATATACATAACAGGCAAAGATATTAACAGCACATAAATTTACTCAATTATATTGGATTACCAGAGGAGAAAAAAATAATCCGATGAGATAATTCTCTGAGAATTCATAAACGCTAAATTAAGAATAAATTTTATAAAATGTTTACTAATGAATACATGTATTTGCATAGTAAGTTTCCTTTTTAAAAAAAAATTTTTCCATCTTTATCACGTTTATCGGAGTGTCGTATTTAACTTCACAATTATGCTCCGAAATTTCATTGCTGTAGATTGGATGATTACCAATATATAATCCTACTAGTAACCAGGGCCAGTATTAGAGGTTTTTGCTGCTCACTACAATATCTGTGGCTCTTACTTCTGCCACGCGCCGCCAGTGGCTGAGTGGTTAAGAATATTGATTACTGGAAGTTAGACCTGGTTTCGGTTCGATCCCAGGCAAATCAGCTGGCTGCATGGTTTGTTTTCCTGTTGTGCAACATGAATACAAACCAGTTTCCTTCAGCAATTAGGCTCACCCGCGCCCGAGCGGTTAAATCGCTGAACACTGGTAGTTCCGACCTGGGTTCGAATCAAGGCGAATGGGCTGGCTACATGGACGTTTTCATAATCTTCCCCATGTGTAACGTGTATGGGAAGCTTTGCTATAAACTAAACTAAGCCTTCAGAAACTTCAGAATTTACCATGTGTGACATATTTTTCAAAAACTACACTTCACAACATGCATACATGACAAATACACAGAACCATAAATAAACAGCAATAATATATATTATATATAAATTTACTAAATGAAATGATCATAAAATGTTCCAACGCTAAAAGAAAGTTTTAACATTCAAGTAAATGACATCATAAAAAAAAAGCAAGTTGAACTGCGAGCACATGAATGAAATGTGCATACACCTGTAAAAATATACCATAGGTAACTGAAAAAGCATTTCGTAGCAAACATATGACTATAAAATTTCCTATAATACCTTGTAATGATGGTGAATTCAATTTAGATCGCAAGAACCTGCTCATACTTTTGAAAAGATTCAATTATTTCAGCAATTCTTTGTGAATTGGAATTTATCCTTTCAATATTTCCCAACAATTTAGAGTGAATGGAGGAATAAATTGTTATAACAGAAATGAACAATTATTAGCATCCCCTCATACACACACACACACACACACACATACAAAAAAAAAAAAAAAAAAAAAACTTATTTGTAAAAAAATCATCTGGGCAATGATTCTCCTTGACACAGATGCAGTTGTATCAATAATTTCTGACCTTCAATAAAAAAATACGCATATTTTACTTCGGAATTAACTTACTACGAAATCATAAACACGAGGTAGTCGATATAAAGAATAAATTATTTCTCACCTTTCGAAAACATCCGCTTGTTCGGAATCTTCCACATCTCGGGAATTTAATTTCATATTTTTTTCTTGAGCTCGACGTTTTCGCTGAATTCTGGATCTTTTATTAAAACCAGGATGTTTTTTCGGTCGTCCTTGATATTTTCGCATACTTTTGGCTAACAATAAATGTAAACAAAACGAGTGCGGAATAGCAATGCAATAGGGTTGCCGTAAACGTCATTCCGCTGACAGCTGACACTGTTTAGTGAAAACTGTGTATAAAGGAATATATGAAACGCTTCTAAATATTATTTAGAAAAAAATATGATTTATAACTGATATCAAAATCAATTACTTCGTGAATTTTTGCAGAAATAAGATTACAATGCTAAATTTTAACTCGTAGCGTCATCTATTGATGGCTTCCCAAACTACACATTAAAATTACGTATTTCAAACTAATTTTTTTAAAATATAATATTTAAGTAAATTTCATTCCAAACCTGATTCTAACATTTTGATTCCAAAACTGACCTATTGCTTTATATTTCTGCCAAATTTCACGCAACATAGTTTCTTAATTAGCGATTCTGCGCGTAAACAAATTTCTAGTATTGTAATGCTGCTGTAGTAGACCACCTTAAAAACACCGTATCTATAACAATCTAGATGGAACAGAAGATGATTATTTATTCACGGATCAGAATAACAATGATGGTAAATATTCTCTAATTCATATAGAATACTAATATTTCTATTAAAAGTGTCTTTTTTCACTATTAAGTACTTTGCCTGTTGATTGATGTATTTCGGTAAGAGCCATGCCCATGTAATAAATTTATGAATGCATGAACTTTAATACATCCATTTTACATGGTTTTAAGTTTTTTTTTTTTTTTTTTTTTTTTTTTTTTTAAGTTACTTGCATATAGCTTAAAGCATTTTACTTTGAAACAAATACCTATCCTTTTTCATAATATATTTCACTATTGTGACAATATATTATGAAATGATGATATCATATATTATGAATCAAATTTTCTTCAGTAGCATTGTTAATAAAACTAGAACTTTATGCATTTTAAAAATTATTATAGGAGGTTGGAAACCTCATGGTTCTGCGTGCTTACAGCTGTTAATAATGAATAACATAACGTGAACGGCCATGTTAACAAATTAGCATTCGCCCCTCCCGCCATAATTTCTTCCTTTGATCCCGACCTGACGACCCGAGAACCGGCCTTTCGACAAAACTTCTTTAATTATGCGAAAATATTTCTATCTATTCGTTGTTTAAAAAATTCAGAAAAAATAATAATAAATAAGAGAAATATAAATATCCAAATGCGAACAACGACAACCTTCGCATAAGCGAATAGGATGAACTTAGCTAGGTTACCAGGTTTGAACTATTATCGCCAAAGTCAGCGATGTTTACATTTACCGGGTTCTCTGCGGAAGTGCTTCCAAAATACATATAAATATATTGTAAACGTAAGTATAAGAATACTAATTGTTATTTTTAAATGAATTTTTACTTCCCGTTATGTTTAATACATTGTTTTTCTGTGCTAACTGAATTTATACAAATTTATTTTCGTATATCACGTTTAACCTGTTAGTTTTACATCTACATACTTATTATCTGTGAATTTTTACTACCATTGTCTGCTAACTTGAATTTACATCACTAAAACCCACATTTACAAAATATCACGCTTATGGCTCGGCTCATCCGCTAGTGAAACTACAACGGCGCCAACGGGTTCTTTCCCGAAGCGCCAACGGGTTCTCTGCGGATGAAAACTCGAAAAAGGAAATCTTCCTCCTAAGTTGAAAATTCACCCCCCCCATCAACCCAAAAAGTTGTGGCGCCCTCTACTTTCCAATATTGATACTAATCTGAAAACACTAAAAAAAGCCAAAAGTGATATTTGGCAAATATTTATTAATAATATAATAAAGTATAACTTTTTTTTAATTCAGCAGAATTTTGAGGATGTATTCTATGTAGCAGGAACCCTTTTTAAGTACTTCACTGTTTTTGTTTGTGATAAGATACCGCTAAATTTGCTTATGTTAAAAGAAGAGGCAGACATTTGTCAACAAACCGCCTTAATTTCTAAATTTAATTTTCAGCTACATTTTTCCTCAAAATATTTTATATAAACTATTTCAAAGCGATGTGCTTCTTGAATTTCATTATGCGTATTACATTTAGAAATAAATAAAATTCTGGCAAAAAAATCATTTCTTAAAATAAAATCAATAATTCGGGAATGAATTAATGACCCCATCTATTGGTTAAAACTATACTGAAAATCGAAAATTATATTTTAGGCAATATTTATTTTTAATATGACATAATATGCATTTTTAAATTATGGGCAGATAATTTTTTAATTCTAGTGCATAATAAATTAAAATTTGCCAGCGTCAATGTTTTGTCTACGCAGATATTCAGAGAATCTATTTTGCTTCTACAGATGTAATAAATTTCTTATTATTATATTATTTCTGTTCACCACGCAAATGAATTTTGCTTATTACTATTAACCTAAAGCAATGTTTTAGTCTCGCAATGGCCATATATATAGTTCCGCTGGGAAAAAATAAAAGAGGGAAGGAAATCCTACGAGAAAATAGTATATTAATGAAGTAATTATAAATTAAAGGTCAATAAAATGTAAAACACAATTATGAGTACATGTATGCCTTTGTGCTTCGTAACTTTTCACAACCTACATTTAGGAAGTATTGATCTCAAGGACTGAAATATTCGGCCAAATGGTAATGTAACCCAATGTCTTTTCGAGATTTATGTTTATTTACCTAGAAAATATTTAATTTTTTGTAATAAAAATGAATTTTCTCTTTGAAGCAAATCTTTCAAAAAATTGTATGTATTTCTAATGCAGTTAACTTCATATCCTTAGTCGAAAATATATATACAAGTACTGAGACCAATTTCCCCCGAAAGTGCCTAACGTTGTTTTGAAACGATAATGCTCGGCTAATGTTCATTTTTTGCCTAGTTTTAAATAGATCTATTAAGTAATGCAATTACTGGGAGCAAAATGTAAAAATAAATTATTAAAAAACTTCCAGAAATAGTATCGAAAGTGAAACAAAAAACAAAAAAAAAGATATCCGGGGAATCGAACGCCAGTCGCGTGATGGCGGGGAAAGTCTCCATTATACTACCGAAGATATGTATTTTGCCAAATACCTGAGATCGAACCAGGAATCACTACACGCTCAGTCTAACGCTCTCCCAACTGAGCTATTTCGGCACGTTTATTTATAAAACAAACTTATCATGCAAACAATTTCTTTTTTTATTTTGTTTACATGTGTTATCTTATCGCAATAGTTGTTAAAATACAGTGAATTTCCTCGTGTAAAACAGTGTGAGCAGATGAAATAAGCAGATGATGACGGTGTCGTCATCAAATGGTTAAGTCAGTGCTATCATTGCGTTATTTTACTTTCATTTCCGTGTTTCAGAATTGCATTATTAGTATTTCGATTTTTTAAAATCGCGCGTTATTTTGCATTTTTAGCGTTCAAATTTAGTTGACTCGCTTTAATTTTTTATGAATATGGCGACTTGTTGGCCACATTACAGGCAGCTGCAATTTATAAGTGATTATAAATCTTTACCAATGTTATGGGATGTTAATAATGCAGCTTACAGGAATCGTGATGAAAGAACACTTGCATATAGAATGCTTGCTGACAAATATATGATTACTCTTTTGGATGTTGAAAAGAAAATTAAATGTTTAAGAACGATATTTAGACGAGAGCATATTAAAGTGTTACACAAAAATGCAATTGGTGAAAAGTACAAACCATTGTGGTTTGGGTATGAGGCAATGCTGTTCGTTTCGGAAATAGATAATAAACTTGATAAAGGTTACCATTCTGAAAATGCTCCTGAGTCAGAAACACAGTTAATAAAGCGTGTGAGTATTTCCGGTACTTGTCCATCTCATTATTTTTAATTTTTCAGCACAACTTCATGAAAATTAATTCTTTCTTCCTAATCAATATTACTGCTGTGATAAATGAAGCAAATATTAATATATTATTACATTTATGTTGTTAACATAGATGTTCAAATTATTAGAGACATTAAAAAAAAAAATCTGTCAAATAAAGATTCAGTAAATTTTTATTTTCAATTCATTAAACTGTAGCATTTAATCATTTTTTAAAGTTTGTCTACCAACATACTTTTATACATATGTATCATGACACCCCTTGTAAGAGTGGATTCTACCAGTGATGTTAACCTTATAGCCTATAGAATAAAAGAAATTAGATAAGTTCATAATCATTAAAATTTTTTGTACCTATGGGTAAAGACATCTCATACGAAAGAAGGCTCAGGGCTAGCGTAGCACAAGGGTCAATCTTAGGACCTGTACTGTACCTTTTCTATGTCTCTGATTTTACTAAAGTACAAGATGGAATTAATAATTTCTTAGGCTGCTATGCGAATGACATGGCTTTAGCCATTAAATCCCTTAGCCCTGCATTAGCTATCAAGAAACTTCAAGATATGATGCCACACATCGAGCACTGGTGCGTTAAATGGCACATTGTGATCAACGCCAATAAATCACAGCTCCTTGTTATTAGTAGAAATAAACGTTCCAGATCGCAAATTGATGCTAAACTGAAACTTTTCAATACAAAAATTCCCAAACTTTTCAATAAAAAAAATAAAAAATGAGTCAATAAAGCAAAATATTTACGTGTCATTTCGACAGTAAGCTTACCTAGACCGACCACATAAATAATATTAGGAATAAAGCAATGGGAAATATGAAAAATCTCATGCTGCTTCTAGGCAAGTACTCCTAATTAGACTTAAAGAGAAAATGTCGCATTTACATTGCCATTATTCGTCCTCTATTATGCTATACATCCCCTGCATGGGCTGACGTAAAGAAAAAAGACCTTAATAAAATGCAAATTGTGCAGAATAAGTATTTACGACTTATTACAAATGCACATTATTTTGTCTCAAATGCGACTCTATATAAGGACCTGAAAACTGAGTACATCAGAGGATTTTATTCAGAAATCAAATGAAAATTTCTTCAACAAAGCAATTGATTGTCCTTTTATGAGCAATTTTCAAGTATTTAATTAGATTATACTGCAAGAGGACAGAGATCTAAGACCTTTAGTGGTCCACCTCTGTGACTCAAATTTTCCGACATTAATTTCCTGTACTATATATTTTGTATTATACCATTTTATTTTATTTATTCTACTTTACTGTAATCGAGTAACTATTTAATGAAGTATTTTATTGTATATATTCATTTTATTATTTCCTGTATTCTTCTGTATTTGTATTTATTTTCTTGTATTTTATTATCTTGCTTATTTATGTGTATGTTCTTACCAATTTTGAGATTCCACCTCATATGTCAGGACTAATTAATTATCATAGCTATACTCCGTCTTGCCTCAAGTAGTCTATGGTCTGGTTTTCCATCCTTGTGAGGCATGGTCACCTTCTTTCCCCCCTTTAATTCAGATCCTCCTTTACCACCCGTTAACAACACTCAACTGCCAGGTTCCATTGTGACAAACTTATCAGGAGCCAATAATGTCACGTTTACTAGTGACAATTCGGCAATATTTATATGGACTGTACTGGATATAATCATTATTTCAAAATTAAAAAAAAAAAAGGTTACAATGGGAGGAAAGTGTAAGCTAAAATCATTGGTGCGGAAAGTCTGTTTGGAAAATTTCTGCAATGTTTGGAATATCCCCTTTTAATGTACATGATGTTATCATGAAGTGCAGAGGTTACAACTCTGCAACAAAGATCTTGTAGACCATATTGTCTTGTAGACAGGAACCGTAGAGCACCGCAAAGAGTTCCGAAAGTCGATCAAATAAAATCAGTATGAATTCCGAGAGACCTCCGAATGCAATATCAGCACAATGACAGTTTGTTATGAATTTCAAACTCTTGGTTTTCATGGCAGAGCTGCTGCTTGTAAACCAAATGTTAATGCTATTAATGCAAAGCATCACTGTCAGTGGTGCAAGCATCAACAACATTGGAGCCTTGAGCAATGGGCATCACATGTTATGGAGTGATGAATCAAGGTATATATATACTATCTGGCAATCTGATAGTAGAATTTGGATGTGGAGATTCCTGGGAAAACGCATTTGTGTCCTGAGTGAAATTTATAGGTGGAAGCATAATCATTTGAGGCTGTTTTTCTTGGTTTGCTATGGGTTGTTTGGTTCATGTTCAAGGAACTTTCAAGACAGAAGCTTACATGGGCATTTTGGACAATTCTGTGCTGCCTACATTGTGACAGTAATTCGGAGAGAATCTGTTCCTGTTTCAACATGATCTTGTTCATGTCCATGCTGCATAGCATGTTCAGAGATTGTTTGTGATGTGGGAGTTAAAGAATTAGACTGGCCTGCTCAAAGCCCAGACTTGAATCCATAGAGCACATACAAAGTACAGTCAAAAGTCTTTAATCCGAACTTGTCGGGACTTCGGCGATTCCAGATTATCGGTTTTTCCAGATTATAGATCATCAATTTAAATCTGGTAAGATGGCATGCAGAAATTATAAAATTAAAAATATGAAACCGTAATTTATGAAATAAAGAGCAATTATGATCTAAAGAGTATCAAAATTTACAATAAAAAAAGCTTTATATTTATTTGTTTACTTTATTAGACATTTCTTTCAACGCGCGCATGGATAAAACATACATTACGCACAGTCGAAATTAGAAAATTGCAACCAGAAAACTATTTGATGTGTATTCGTGATGTTTATAATGACGAGGAAATTAATTTAAATCATATCAAAGACAGAATATAAGAGAGATGAAGTACTACACTTAGTAAGGAATTATAAGCCAAATAAAATAAAAACATCTGCCCTGAAGATAAGGATAGTGCTGACAGATCAACTTCCAGTTCATTGCACGCTGCATCGTCCCCCCTCCCACACAGAGCAGCATGAAATTGATAAACATATTTTGGAATAATTAGAGAATCAAAGGATATGCCTTTATCCATTTTTTGCAGCAATTCCACTTTTTGTTTGATGGACATCGAAACATGCTTTCACATTGTAGATCCTTTAGTAGCTCCAGAATCGGAAATTCTTTTTGACATAATCAAAAGTTCAAGCTTACTTTTATAAAATTGCTCTAACAGTCTGCCAAAAATAATTAGCCGGATCCAATTAGAAGTTTAAGGAACAACGCAGTCTGCAACATTAATTGAAATAGATAATTAGATAATATTAGCTTAGCTTATGCCATTCGTTATACAATAAATGTGCATGCGTAGACGCAAAGGTATGTGTATGCGTTAATGCATTATGTGTTGACGCATGCGCAGAAAGTTTTTAGCTTTGAGGTCTGGTAATAGATCATTCCGGATTTTGGACATCCGTATTAAAGACTTTTGACTGTATACCAGAACAGTGACTGCAATCTAGGCTACATCACTCAAAGTCAGTGACAAAACTGACCAGTGTTCTGCAATAATATTGTGTAGTTCCTGCTAAAACCTTTTTTTTTTTAAACTAGAGAGCCTTTCCCAGAGAGTGGCAGTTTATTGCAGGAAAAGGTAGTCCAACCGTACATTTATTTTTCACTTATCTTCAAGAGAAACAAAACATACAGATATCTGGATATTTGTTATCATATACAGTACAAAGTCTTTAATCCGGAATGATCTATAATCCGAACCTCAAAGCTACAAACTTTCTGCGCATGCGTAATGTTTACGCATGCACGTAATACCTTTACACATGCGCATAATACGTTTATGCATGCGTGTTTAATGTATAACGGACGGTATAAGATAGGCTAAAATTATATAATTATTTATTTCAGTTAATGTTGCAGATTGTGTTGTTCCTTAATCTTCTAATTGGATCTGGCTTATTATTTTTTTGCAGACTGTTAGAGCAATTTTATAAAATGTAAGCTTAAACTTTCGATTATCTTAAAAAGAGTTTCCGATTCTGGAGCTGCCAAAGGATCTACAAAGCGAAAGCATGTTTCAATGTCCATCAAACAAAAAGTGGAATTGCTGCAAAAAATGGATAAAGGCATGAAGAAAATGACAAAGAGGTTAGTGAAAACGAAAAAATTTTGATTGACAAGTTAGTCGCTATTCTCGGCACAGCAATTACGGGACTTGAACAACGGAACTTTGTAACTGAACAAGAAATTATGTCTGTTTATAGAATTAAAGAGAAAGTATTATCGCATAAAACGAAACAACTTACATTGAAAGAAATGTTTAATAAAGTAAACAAATAAATATTAAGTTTTTTTTTTTTTTTTTTTAATTTTGATACCTTTTAGATCATAATTGCTCTTTATTTCATAAATTATGGTTTCATATTTTTAATTTTATAATTTCTGCATGCCATCTTACCAGATTTAAATTGATGATCTATAATCCGGAATCGCCGAAGTTCCGACGAGTCCGGATTAAAGACTTCGTACTGTACTGATTTCCTCAGTTTCTTATTTGTAAGTTTTATTATTTACAATTTTCTTACAAAGTAGATTTTCTTCTGGTGCTGTTTTATTATTGATAACTGCCTGTGGTGCTAAATATCTTTATGCATCCCTGACTAAAAGAAAATAGACAATTTGTTCATAAGCCAGTAGTTGGATTTTAAAATGCTTTACTCCATTATACATGTTACTGGCATCATATGAAATAGCAGGCATTCTGTAAAAAATCTCAGCATATATAGAATACACTGCATTGTTAAGTAAAATAATGAAATGTTGGAATTAATGTTTCATTAATCTAAAAAATATGTTATTCCTGCATATCATTTTTAGATATTAATAACTGTCCGTGCTTGGAATTGTTGATTTAAATTTTAATCGTATTTTAATTTTCAACTCATCGTGTAAAACCTCTTTATGT